TGAAATTTGGATATAGAGCGGACTTCCTTATGATTTAGGCCTAAGGAAATATATATGTATATGGTTCTGAACTTTGTAGGTGAAAGTGTTCTTCCTTATGTTGTGGTCATATTAAAATATAATATCATTAAAGACCTTTTAACAAACAACATGAAACATATATCAAACTTTTAGGTTAAAATTTCCGCTTCCGAGCATGAATATAACGTAATTTTTAGATATATGATATTTTCATGACAGTCGAGAATGTACTGATTATATACGGTAACTTATAGATAATTACTGTTGTCCGATTGTGTGCATTGAAAATGTGACGACGAGCTCGGGACGGATACGGGCCTCGGTTGACACTCATATCAAAGGGCCTGTTAATTGACCTTGCACAGAAGCCAGTCGTCACCTGCTACGATACCTTCTCCTCCTTATCATCATCACATCATCATCATCATCATCATCATCATTTTCTTCTTCATCATCGTAATTATTAATTGCCCATGCTAAAATAGGGGAAATCTATTAATTCAGTGTGCATTCATTCATCAATAGAAGTCTCTTAATGCTTTGCGAAGCTAGGAGAACCCCAAGACTACAGCAAACCACCCCCCCCCCCGTCTAAAATAATCTTCCAGCGACGGAACAAGCAAACATTGCGTTTTCTTCCCATGACCCGCCCACTCAGGGAACCCATTATGTGCGATAGTCAGGGTAAAGCTCGGTTTCCATATAATCGCTCACCCTATCAGCGACAGTCGCCGACAGCTGTCAGGAAGGTTGAACCTGGTTCAACTTTTCAGAATGCGTTGCAGACGCAGACGAATCAGGGTGCATTGCTAGCTGCCCTGCACAATCGGAAAGGCACCCCGATTCTTCTGTGAACCACAACTGACACGACTGTCGGCGATAGGGTGAGCGATTCTTGGAGACCGAGCTAAAACTCTGAATCAACGCCTGAGAGGTCCCTATTCTCAAAATTGTCTATTCCCTCAGCCCCAACCATGGCGGGGGGCAGTGAGGTGGACCCTCACGCACCCCCTACCGCCAAATTCTGCATCTACCCCAGGGGTGTCTAAGGGAGGAGGAGCATACGAGGAAGCATAACTGCCGTCTGGAGGAAGTCAATAATTTTGTCGAGAAACACTGCTTTGAAAAAGCATTTTACCGTCCGAGAGTGCCACTTCCGAGCGTCTAGAGGGGCCTATTCTTAAAATTTGCTACAAGGGCTACTGATCCTTAGGGGCCCCTTTCGCTGCCCCTACCCATATTGTCCAGTAGGGTCTGCGCTCTACTTCACCCTGATCCAAAAGGACTTTGCTGATACAAAATAGCATAATGTGTCGACTGATATCGACTGTAGGACATAGCATATTAATCCAGCGAGGTGAGTTGCCCAGCCGGTACAGACTCTGCATTTGTAAACATTTTTTTTTAATGGAGACAAAGTATTCAAGTCTGAATGAGTGTCATTTCCGGGCATCTAGAGGTACCAAAATCATAATTTGCTTTGTGACTCCCAGTATAGAATAGACTATAGGTCCTTGATTAGACCTTTGCGATGCCCGTGAGGAGAGAGGAAAAGGGGGAGCATAGCTCCCGTCGAGTGGAAGTCAATAATTTTTTGTAAAGGAACACTGCTTTGAAAAAGCATATTTTTACCATCTGAGAGTGCCATTTTCGAGCGTCTAGAGGGTCATATTTTTAAAATTTGCTCACGTCCTCAGCCCCAACCATGGTGGGGCTGAGGTGGGTGTGGAATACCTCCCCTCTCTGCCCCCCCACCCGCCAGAAAATTTCTGGATCCGCCCCTGAGGTTTCAGCATGCCTTTTGTAAGCCAGGACCAAGTAGTATTTTGTTACATTTCTTTACAGCTAGATGGGGGTTCGTCCGAACCCCTTGAACTCCCCTGGATCCGCCACTGCAGTGTAAGTCGTCACATGAAGGCAATAAATTGACCTACCAAATAATATCATTTACCAATAAATTTTACTGGGCATTTATTCATGTTTTAGTTTTTTCTCGACACACATCTGTTTTATCTTGTATTGTGTTAAATTGATAACAGGCCTTAATGAAATAAACGGCAACATTGACAATGATAATTGTTGTCACGAAGATGATGATGATGAGGATGATAATGGTGGTTGTTCTTCGGTTGTACTAACATTTATCTAAAATACCGTATGGTATATACCACTCACATCCCGACACAAATTAGTCGACAATTTGTCTATTATTAATGGTAATAATACAATATATTACGTAGGCTACTAAGGTATCTGTGGTATTGAAGAGATGTTCGAGAAGTTCTCGAACTGTAGAGGGCGTACTCTTTAAAAGTATCAATGATTTCACAGCCCGACACCTATCACCTGCAAAAAGTAATATTCGCACACCATACCATGGTCATGGTAGAAGCGTCTTCGTCACGGCCCTAGATAAAGCTAATTCTACCACCACCACACACAAGATGAAGGTAGCATCTACTTGTATCATTATTTTCATCATGCCATCTGATGGGTATGGAAAAAACAATGATTGTGCAAGAATCTGTGTCCAGCTTTGGCTGAATCAAATTATATAGAATGTATATGTGTATAATAAGAAGAAGACCATTCCATAATGCTGATTTGTTAATAAAACGATAAATTGATAAACTGGTCTTCCTTTATCGTCGGTAATGAAATTAGAGACTTATTAATGTTGTATTAATTTCTTACTTGATTGAAAAATTTGCAAAAAAAGTACGGTGACCTTACTGATTGCTTAATTATTATTAATATACTTGGAGAAAAATTACTGAAGATAACTGTGTGATACAGCAGAAACATGTTGGTTAAACCTTGGTTTATTGCTTTCAAATTTGTGTTGTTTATTAACGGTGTCCTGTCGATCGTTTGGATCTATTGTTCATAGTTACAACTTAGGCCGATTAGTAAAATATGAATGTAGAAGACAAAAAAAATAAAGAAAAGCTGAAGCTGATCTCTATTTATCCAGTGGTAATGCCTCTTAAGAAAAGCACTTTAAATATGCTCATCTTATCACGATTGAAAGTAGGTAAAACTTTAAAATAAAGTATGATCCATATATAAAAATCCAATATTGTGTATACTAACTAATGAAATAACATCTCAACTGAACCTGGATAATTTTTACTTAATTCGAAAACAATGTTTGTTTAGGAATCAGAATAAAAATGATTGTCTTTATATATTTTTTTTCTTATTCTTTAATAATAGTGAAAGTTTGCAATTTTTATTTAACATATAAAATATAATTAAACCTAGAGTAAAATGTATCTTCACTGGACTAAAAGTAAAATGTAATATAATACTTAAATATGAATTGTATACGGTATCATTTTTTGGCTTAACCTGAAACAAAAAAAAACTGTGTATATCTGAATCACTTTCCATCTGTCTGACCCTTGAACTCACTCATTGCTAAATTGTTTCCGATGCATTTTAATAGCTGCGAGGAAGAGCGTATCCGTTTTAAACCATTTCAGCCTTATTGAAGAAAATAGTAATTTAGCTTGTTTAGAATTCTCGACATGAAGTCTCAGAGAAGTCAGATTGGAAAGGACTTCGGGTAGCAGCAACAAGGCATTATGTGTATCCATATAGCGCCATAATAGTATAGACTACAAGATTGGGATCGCAAATACAGTATAAGACTGGCCCGTACACTAATAATGACTTGCCATGAGTCTTGCCCGATTTTAGGCCTTTTTGCAGCAACCATCGGTGTTGTAGCCTCTGCAGCAGTGATCACTATTTGTAGTATCAATATAGTGTACCCTTACATGATGACAAGAGAGTTCCATTCAGCCGAATGCCTTGTGGAGTCCGTCGAAATACTTAATGTTACCAGAAAGTGCCGATGTGGGTACGAAGGAGGACAATGCGATGTGATTCACTCCTTGTGCGTGGTTGCTAATGTGCGGTTCAAATCGGACTTGCAGACCAGACACGGTACGCTCTTTGAGAGTGACCAGAGCTTGGCGTTTGATGATCAGGTAAGAAGGGTTGTCATGTGAAGGCTTATGCCACAGGGTCGTATCATTTTAGGGAAGGGTGCTGGTATGCAAAGGTGGGCCAACTGGGGGTAGGGTGGGGGCAGAGTCGGTTGGATCGCAACTTCGATTTTTCATTACTATGACAGGGGCGGATTGAGCCAGTAAAAACTTGTCAAAAAAGACGCTTATTTACATTACCAGGACGGATGAGCGCCTAATTATATAAAGGTATCAGCGAATATGCACATTCTTTATGTCCACAGGCATATAACTTTTGATGGAAACATTATACGCATACCGTGGTCGCAGCGAGTACCGGACAATCATTAATAGAGTTAAAATCTGGAGACGGTAATATATTATTTTGTACTCTAGCTAAATAGGGTAAAAGCTGAACCATTTTGACATCATCAAATCATCATTATTTTTCAGTGTTCTTACCCGACATGCTGGTCTTACAAAAATTACTACGCAAGCAACGAATCATATGACGTAAGCGGCGGATTTGAAGACTTCTTATACACCTACGAATTTGGGGCTAGTGTGGACTGCTTCGTCGACAGTGAATCCGATGACCATGACAGCCGTGTAGTTGGGGTTAAACACGTCAGCAGAAATGACGTTATTCACTCATTAGCGTGGCCTTTAAGTGTATTTTTTCTCGGTATCATCTGTTCAATTTGTAGTTTCAAACAATTGAACACTTGAGAAGAAATTAAAACATTGGCTTTATAGATAGATAGATTTAAACATTTGTATAGCGCCGGTTAAAACAAGGTTTGTTTCTTGTACAGCACTTTAAACCAAATGCAAACAAAAAGGGTTGAAATATTATTGTAACGTTACGGTACTGAATGATCGTTGAAGATATTAACTGAATTAAGGAAGGGGCGGATCCAGCCCGGTAAGAAAGGGGTGGCGTGAATATGCGAGCTGAGTGACAGTCTTATGAAGAACCCCCGGTATGGGTGCAATGAGTTAAACCCCCAGCACCTTCATAAATTTGAGTTTGTATTTGACTGATTTTTACTATGTAGCATAGCAAGCATAACTTTCTGAAAAGCTTGAAAATAAAAAATATTTTTACAAAAAATAAAGGAGTCGTACGCCCCTTACTCCCCCTCTAAATCCGGCACTGTATGGTGAATAGGCAAGGGAAAAGAGAATAATTGTAACAGGTGGAAGTGAGTTCCAAAATTTAGGTGCAAGAAAAGAAAATGAGCGTTGTTTGTTTTAAAATGGTAAAAACAAGAAAACGATCAGCGGGACGTGCGGCTGGAATGAGTAAGCGTGATGTTAGAAACAAAGTAGTCATGGGCAAAACCTTAAATGGACATAGACCAATATTTTTCTGATGGCGAAGATGATTAATAGAAGTGGTTGTGTAAAACAATCCGCTCAATCTTATATTAGACGATTTGTAGGCCTACATTTACATATATTACACAGGAGAGGTACCACCTGGTACCGGTACTACACGCTGGTTTGTCGGTATCTGCACGCTAGTTTTGTTTTTCACTCAAGACATAAAATGAATGAAAAAATACATTTGAAGAACCGCAACGGATTTTATTATTTAATTATTTGATCGATCGGTTTATTGATTGATTGATTGGTTGCTTGCTTGGTCCATTGATTGATTGGTTGGTGGATTTGTGTATTGACTACTGTAAATGCTTTTAATTATTTTACTGTATTTTAATAGCGAGTTGATTCGATTCTGTGAGGTCTTCCGTGTGTGATAACTTTAATAGGCATATCTAAAATACACTACTGTATAAATGATTTTTTTAAATGGTGAACAACTGAGTGATGTAAAGCATTCAAGAAATCAGGGACACGGAAATACCGGTAGTATTCATATTTTTAATATATAAAAACACTTCATATAAAAGTAATAAAACGGAGACGCATTATTACAAACGAATGTTATAAATCTGATTTATTATTTATCGAACAAATGTTTTAAAAATATACTATGCTTAGCAGTTAACATTGCCTTAGAGTTTGTCGCCAACACCACGAAGAGACAAGTTAAATTTTGACGAAACAACGTTTTCAGAAAAAACGTTTGAAGCAGATTACTATACTCTACAACAGTAAATTTCGCCAGCAAGACACCCGACTTGTGAATATTTTTTTAACAAAGGTCTAGGCTCGAAAGCTTTAGCATCCTTTTTTTTAAATTTAATTAACAAGATTATGAAGATAAAAAGTTCCTTCTTTAAACTATTTTTTTTTAATTGGTTAATTTAAGTTTGGTGCTGCATGTCATACGAAAGACGAAGTAAATGAGAATTTTACACACAGAGAGGTTAGTGTCTTTTTGGCGAAAACGAAAAACCTGCTTGCTCGCCTTGTACTTATGAAGCATGTAGCTACTAGGATTAGGCTCTAGCCATCAAGTAAGGCTGGGCCTAGCCAGGCTAGATAAGGGCCTAGGCCCCCAGACAAATGTAAAGACCTGTGCGAGGAATAAAGGTTAATTAGTCTAAATAAATATTGTAGAGTTTAATTGAATACATAATCAAAATACCAACCAAAGTTTTTGTCTCTTTGTGGTGTCGGTGAAGATTTTGTTTCAAGCTTAATTTGATTGAAATCGCCGAGTAGGGCCTAAGTAATGTAAACAAAATATATGAATGATAGGCCTGTGTAAATGTAACCCTATGATACTGTAATATTCAAAAGTAACTTAAAATGACTTTAAACGTATGAAACATTAACTATATTCAACTAATTAAAAATACATAAACATCTTACATTACAATCATAATGTCCTACCGCTGTATTAATAAATTTAATCATTAATACATTGCTGTAACCTTATGTATTAATATATTATCAGGTAAATATGTATAATTTATATATTATTTGTTTTAAGCCTATATAATATATACGCGTATAAGTTATTATCTGATAGGTTTCATTTAGTCTATGTTTTTAAATATTATATAAATACTTTCAATCAAGGTCATAACGTGGGATGGTGAAAAGCATATCACAATAATAAATAACAGTTTTCGCTGCGGGAAATGAGCATTCAACAACCGAACGCGGTGAGTTCGAGTCCAATTGTGTCCGCCTGTATTCCTCCGCAAGTACGGTATGTTTCGTGGGAGAATGCTAAAGATTTGGAATGAGATTGGTGAGCCCTTACCTACTGCTGCAAACTTATTACTCCCGCAAGATGAGATGCACCTGATCTAATTAATTGAACGTTTATCCGATGTCGGGTAACAAAAAACTACATTATTCTTTCATACAAATCTAACAAATAATATTTATAACACAAATATTCATAAAAACACCATAATATTTAAATTTACTGAACTAAGGTTCAGTAAATGTGTCCAATCCCGATACTCAACCAACGAATTCTAGGCCTACGTGTAGAATAGGTGCGAAGTAAAAAGCGCCCCTCTTAAATCAAAAACCTTTCATTTATGTCGGTTTATGTGTTCGTACCGTTAGTCACAGTACGCTACAGTATTTGTCATACATAATCATTACAACTAGCGCTGTCTTTATACAGTTCGTCTAATGTTCTGTGATCAGTTGCGCTCTCCTCATTTTGTTTAAAGTCTAAACACGATACGGAAAGTAATGTTTTGTTTTCAGTCAGTTGTTTCGACTGTGTTTCGTTGAGTGACTCCAAGATCAAGGTTTTCTCCTGTTCAATTTTTTCTAAGTCGTGGATTAGTTTTTTATTCAGTTCGCTCTGCCTTTCATACTCCTGAAAAGATAATGATCATCAAAATATCAGTTAATTTATAATCTTGCTACCGATTTAATAATTGTAATAACTGTCAATGTCCACTAATGATGATGATGGTTATAATTTCAACGTGGACGTCGCCCATGAGTAACTGTGTGACCGAGTACGCTTTAAGCAGTTGGTGTAACAGTGGTGTATCTAAAAATACCTTGATTCTCCCCCAGGCGCCCTCCCACTCTCGCTGGAAATTTGCTGATTAAAACAAATTTTACATTCAAGCAGTAAAAATCACCTCATAGGCCTATCATATTTTTTCCTGGCTAGCTCTCCCAAACCAATACTTCACGCCATTATTGGTTGACCCATTTTAGGATGGTACATATTTTGCAATCATAGAAAAATGAATATGCTACTGTCCAAGGGAATTCGGCCCCTAGTAAATTCTTCATCATTTACATAACGCCATTGTTCCATCGAATTCGGTGGTGTTCACATAACGAATTAAAGAGGAAAAATATACGTATTTTCGGACGGATCCAGAAGGACCAGGCAACTGATTCCTCTAAGAGAGGACGCGCGAATTCACTATGAATTTAGGGACAGTTTACTGTAGGGCCGAAATAATTATATAATAAGAATAATAATAACAATAATAATAATAATAATAATAATAATAATAATAATAATAATAATAATAATAATAATAATAATAATAATAATAATAATAAAAGTAAATTTCCATTTAAAATAGCGCATATTGCACAGACTTGTCTTTTCGGATCGGAAAGCCTACTCATATAGGATCTGTGGCCTATGCTGAACCGATTAGGACGATTAGGAAATCGGATCAGAATAGGGACGGTGGTGTCCAGCGCACGATGTGATGTGATAGAGTGTCGGTGTTTAAAATATTTGTGACACCTGCACATCACCATTGTCGTACAATTGGGGACTGCACGTTTAGGACACATTATGACAGTAATAGTAGGCCTACCTAACTGACTTAAATTGTAATTAAAGAGATGGACATAAACTAACCTCTCGCATCGAATTTTCAGCTAATTTCTTTTTGTTCCTCAGTTTAGCAGCAGCTAACTTGTTCCTTTCACGACGTCTCTGCTTCTTCTGAAGTTCATCTTCAGACAGCTATAATAACAAAATAAGATTTTCATTAGGAAAGTTTCTAATTAAAGAAGAAACCTGCTTAAGACGTGTCAATGTAAGTCAAGTTTTTAAATTGCTTTTGTAAATGGGCTCCCTCAGCGATTTACAGATTTGCTCCACTTTCGCGTACTGGTCTCATCATCTAGTCTGATCTAGTCTCACAGGTATCAATATTATACTTCCATGGCTACCGTGCTGCAAATCAGGGTACAAAGTGAATAGGCAACGGAAACGGGATTATGATACGACTGGTACGAGCGATATTGTTTACCACTAAGACATGGACATAAGCCACATTTTCCTATACGAAATAGGTCGGTGGCTTGATTTTAGTACCTATCCCCAGTTATTGTATACTAAACAATGACAAAGAAGTGCATGCATTGAAAACATCTTTTTTCAAATGTTCAAAGTCATTTGGAAGACGATCGCTATCGACATAGGCCTAATGTAAACATGATTATAAAGTGATTAGAAAATGTGCCCGAAGAAAAAAACAATGAGTAATATGTATTTAGGTCTGCATTCTAAATGTTAACACCCCCCCCCCCACACCCCATCTCTATAGCCTATACCCCTACCGAAACTTGTTTGAAAAAAAGTTTGGAAAAAATAACGATAATGTTCAATCAATGATAAACCTAGGTGTACTTACGTCATAATGGAGGATTTCACTTTGGTCTACATTGATTTCCTCCAGACCCTTCTCAGCTCGTTTCCTTCGAATTGTTATTTTCAGTTCTTCTTTGATGTATGGAGACAAATCAAGACCGAGATCAAAAACATTTGTTGTCGATGCTGCACCTCCATGTTTCGGTTCTTGTTCTTCCATTTCATCTTTCTGTGTATGCCTGTTAGTATCAAATGTAGGCCTGGACTGATTCAGGCCACAGTCATTAGTAAATGTTGCAGCAGTCTGCGGCTCCCGTGCGTGACATGTTTGGTCTTGTCCCGGCATGTTGATGAGCTTACGGTATTTTGTATACACCACCATTGAAATAAACAGTATCTGGAAAAACCCCAATATCAAATTTGCTGATGTGGACTTTTAACTAATGAAGGCCTATTACTAGTTGTGGTGCAATACGTTATTTTATGATAGTGCCTTGAAACATATTTTACTAACTGCACAAATTCGAATGTATGGTACTACTATATCAATTATTTTTTGATATTGTTATTATTACCATTATTATCATATTATTATTATTATTATTATTATTATTATTATTATTATTATTATTATTAATGCAAATTATTTTTATTTACAAGAATTAGATGCATTATACTATTATATCAATTATTATTGTTGATATTGTTATTATTATTACCACTATATTATTATGATTATTATTATTACTGTTAATGGGAATTATTTTTATATATTAATGATTGCTAATTATTATAATATTATTCACCATCATAATTAAATTATATTTGTATATGATAACATAATTATAATTATTGTAATAAATATCTATTATAATAATTATAATTATATCATTATAAACATAATTTATATTTAATAATAATTATTATGATTATAAATTTATAGTACTGTACATATTATTATTGATTATTATTATTATTATTATTATTATTATATTACAGTATTATTATCATCATCATCAACATTGTTATTGTTATTGTTATTATTGTTGTTGTGGACATCATTAATCACGTGCTCATATGTACAATGACGTACATGCAGATAACTATTGTGTTATTTCTCATGCAAAAAGACAACAACAAAATCACGAAAAACGCATTTATTTTTAGCTCATAAATATTTAATTGGTTTAACACTGTTTTAGTTCTACATAATTACAGTTCATTTAGGCCTATATAGGCCTGGCTATAATAGCAGACAATGTAAGAAAGAGAGGAAATTTGCCTACCTTCGTATAGTAAATAGAATAGCACTAATAGTACTGGAGAAATATTAAACACGTCCTGTCGTTACTGTGTCGTTTTAGACTGTAAATAAACATCGATATTTCATCAGCATACTGTACAATATTCTGGAACATTCTATTGTGACTAATCGATTTTCTTTGGCTTCAGTATTATATCAGCACAGTATGATAAATTCACGGATTTTATTCTTGTAAATAACATTTGGAATTTTCCACGTAGATCATTGCACTGCACCTACCATTAAATACAAGAAACTAATATGTGTAATTTATTTTTATTATTTTCCTACTCATTATGAATCATAAAACATTATGATGAATCACCCGTTGGATCAATGGAAGTTTCCAGAAAAATCCTCATCGTCATGGTCAAAAATAGAGTAGAAGAGAGGGCGGTATTCAAAGAGCGTGTGTCAGCATTTTTAGACGGGGCAACGATTACACCTGGGTCGCACAAATAAAAGAGAGGGGGAAGGGGAAACTTAGGTGGAGTAACAAAGACTGATGATGATAAGATACATGGGTCACACACTCTCATGATAAAGGGTTTTCATGCTATAATCAGGTTGTTGAAATCGAGTCTTTCCAACCTCCTCCCACATGTCATCAGTAGAATGGTAAGTCATTAAAGCCCCAAATCAGTGGACCCATTATCAATATGCCTACGCTGTTTAAATCTTTGTTAGTTATGTCATTACTGTATTGTTAAACCATGGGCCTACTTAGAACTTCGATTGCTTGACCCTGGAATTTCCAAATCCGGTACTGATAAGTTGGAATTTTTTTTTTTTTATTTCACTGTAAATTGTGAGTGAGGATTTCCCGTTGTTTAGTAAACCCGTGGTGTCAGGAGGCCGGACTTATATTTTATCACGAGTAGACGATTTAACTATGAATCACTATCATACATCTACGTTGGAAATGTAAACATGCTTCTGTATCCCCGGTCATTGCGTGGCTGTAATGCAAACATACGCGTAACCAAATTTACTATAATATGCACGCACCCAGGCATTAGGCCAATAAACATCGTTCGAGCAAAGGAGCCGCTGAAACCTGTCAACGGCCGGGAATAAAAAATCCTAATGTTCTTGTGGAGTTTTTATGGGTTGGTATGGGTGGTTTTAAACCACAATATTAGGGATTGGCAGTCAAAATAACGTTATTTGGATATGCAAATTATTATTATTTTTTTTTTTTTTGATCTGAAAACCAAGTCGTGGGTCAGACTAAAGGGGCCTGTCCGACGGAGGAGAAAATTCCCCCGCCCCATTCTCCCCGCTGGCACCACCACTACTAAAGCCCGCAGATCCATACTCTCATGTAGGGTCGAGTTCGTATTTATTTAATGTTATGCAAAATTATAGCCTATTTTTTACGAAGAAAGGGAGTCAAAATTCTTTGTACGATGTTTTAATGCATATTTAAACGATGCCTTAAGACTAATCTAAAATTACCATACCAACCCACCAACATGCGTGGAGAGAGCGACGGTTGCACTGGACCCCAGTAATAGCCATAGGCCAAAAGCTGATCAATCGATCTATCGGCTTCCAAATGACACTGCTCAAGCAACACATTTTTTTATGGACTACCCACGAAACAAAACGTGAGAAAATAAGCCTCATATGTTGATAACCCCATGTTCTTCGCAACATGGTGCTTTATTTTGTTAACATTATATTTAATTAATTAAAATTAAATTATTTTTGGACTTGAAATATAAATAGGTGATCCATATCATTTATGTTTTTCATATGCAAATTATTGTTCAACTTTCAAGTATAGTATGTTACTTTTATGCGGGCCTATTCTATTCTATTTTCTTTTTTATTTATTGATCCTATAGTGCGACCTTTACTGAGCATGTTTGACACACTTACTGTATTTACCAATCTTGTGTTGCAATGAACTCGTGTTGGTTATAATCTTTACATTCTCTTCCGCACGTATTGGCGCTAGGCATGCCCTGGCTAGTCGGCATGCAGGTAAATCCAATGCCTGGATGACATTCAGGTAGGTTATGATTAAGAAGCATGCATTAGTTACCAAATAATATATTTATAAACATGACCTAATGTATGATGTGTCAGCCAGGTGATCAGGTGATCGAGAACCCCATTAAAAAAGAGAAATGAATCACCTGATATACAAAACTCATCACAAATAAGTTGCTTCGCTATTATTTTTTTTTAGTAATTAATTAATAAGAATAGAAAATAACTACGTCCAGTATTTATTTATTTGTGACTCGTCACATGATCGACGGAGTATCGGTATTGTTTTAAATAGGCTGTTCTACAGAAAAAATATCCCAGATTGTTGGTGTTATCCACCCTAAAAAATCACGGTCAAGAAGTTAAATATCACCTCAAATCATTTTTTTTCTGCCAGCTAGCGCCCCGGAATCATCGATCCCCCCTCCCCTTTACCTTCGCGCCTCATCAGCTCCCCAGTTCAAGACGTTTAGATACGCCACTGGCAGGAAGCAATGTGCGGTGTCAGCAAGGAGTTGACCCCTATTGGTGGAAAGACTTTTCAACATTCTATACAGCAAATTTTAAACCGCTTAACTGAGGGGTTTCTTTTATATGGCAAATGGACAAATCGTACCCACAAAGGAGTATTGGCACGCGATAACAATTGGTTAATTGGTTATCTAAAACAGTTTTACATAGATACCTAAGCCTATTTATAAAATTATGGTATCTACAAAAATTACCAAGGAGAATCCAACGACTATTCCATTACTTGTTAAAATAAATATTTAAATTGTGGATTTTTTTTTTTATTAATTATTTTTTTTTAATCGTTACGTATTATCGTTTTATTTTTTGTTTAGTTTTAAATCGAAAACCGGGTGTTTTTGCCATCAAGTCGAAGCTCTACTGATGTATACACTCCACTGATATATATATTTTCAAAATCAGAAAATTTACCCACAATAGAAAGTGAAATTGGTCCCTTTGAGACCAAGCTTGGATTGATGTACAGTATTCACAAATACTAAGAATGATGGAGTATTGTTAGAGATGTTGAATCGTATTTACAGGGATCTCTTTCAATAAATCACACAGTATCGATTTCGCATTGGCTCAACGAAAATTGTAAGTTTCCGAAACGAGTACCGTGAATAATTGATCACATATTGACCACGTGACTGGTGTTTTCATCTCCATATATAGATATGATGCAATGAATCGAAGTATTTCACAATTTAAGAAGTATTAATGTGTTTATGTTTTTTTTTTGTTTTTTTGTTTTTTTCATTTGGGTACGATTGCATCATATATGATTCGGATATGATTGAATTAATTACTTAAGCAACTTTATCACCAATTATTATGGTGATCATGATCATGATGATGATCATGATGATGATCATGAAGAATAAGGTGCACAGTGATAACGAATATGGCGATTAAATGAAAATGATTATTATAGTATTATTGTTGGGTATTTATTAGGTCATATATTGTGTTTTACTATGTTAATAACTTAAGCCCATTTCGAATCCAAGAAAGTAGCGTAGGTGTAGGCCCACCAATCGCTTAATAGTACAAACTTTTCGCTGCGCACAGGCCATGGGACCTACATTATATAATGCAATAATTACCAGGTACCTGTTGTTGTGATTAAATGACGAAGAGGATGATGATCATATGGTGACGTCATAATGATGGTAATGATAATAGGGAGCTTTCGCAAGCTTACGAATAACGATAATGAATACGGTTTTGTCAACCCTTCCCCTACATTAGCATATATGTCACAACGTAGGCAATTCATGCCTTTTGCATGAATCAAGGATCATATTCAGCTCCTACAGCGTATTGTTAGAAGTGCTCTAGGCAGGAATGATGATAATGATAATGACGTATTCGTATTCGTTATCGTTTTCGTAAGGTTGCGAAATGTCTCTAATTATGATGATAATAGAGGTTATTATGATTATGAAAATAGTAATACTGTAATGACATTTTAACATAAATTTTAAAAACGGAGAATAAAAACGAATCGAATATAGACAACAGAATATGTCACTTTTATGAAGTTTAATCAAACTCTCTTTACAATTATATACAGATGTTTTTAACGTAAAAAAATAAATATGAAACAAATGAAGTACGTGGTATTTAGGTTACTACACAGAGCCGTTGTTATATCTGTTAGCGAGTTAAGATGGCATATTACATTCCAGAACCGAGGTAGATGGACATTTCAGCATTATTAATGTTATTCTTTATTCATGTCATTATGAGCACAATCTGTGGTATTATGCACGTTATAATGTAACAAGAAACGTAGATATACTTTACGTAAAAATACAATTAATGTATACCGTATTATGGAAGCAAAAATTAAAATCCCTTAAAAAATGTAAGTACAGTACAAGATATAATATACAACTGATTTAAAGAGATCAAATAAGTTTCAAATAAGTTTTTTAACTTTCAATACATAGATTGCGTAAACAATATTTCACCAATGTATCACTACAAAAAAAAATCCTTAAATTGACAACTAGCCAAGTTAAGGTTCTACGTAAGAATATACGGTTGGCAAAAATTGTTTATTGTTTATTGTTTTTGTTTAATATGGCAATTCATAGTTTGCACCGTCGCATGCCCGTATCCGTTTATGTGATTGGCCTTGATATCTGCATGCGCAGTTTAAACTATGAAATTGACTTACTGAAAGCTAATAACTGTATTATACAAAGGAAGCAATTGAAAATATTTTAAGTTTACTTTAGTTTTCGCTGATTTACAACATTTTTTTAAAACAAATACTTAAATGGATTACAAGCCAATTTAACGGACTACGCAAAAGAATACAGCAAATGTATTACAGTACTGTATTTAACTCTCCGTTAATGGGCAAGGATTTTTTTTTAACATTTAAATTTACAATTTTAAGTTAATAACTTAGGCCTACTTAAACATACAAATTATGCAATTCAAAAATAAAATTGAATTTTTCAAAATGTTGTGCTCATGACAGAGAGTGTATCTTTAATCTCATTAATATTCAATCCTATGGTAACAAACAGGAAACCCAAGGTTTGAAAGTCGCTTTTTGACGTTCCATAATGCCTACTCAACAAATAATACGTTGGAATAATTTTGAAAACATTAATTTGAATGCGGCAAACTGGACACAGCGAAGTGACCATGTCTTGACTTTCATTTACATTACAATAGCCACCGACAGCCTTCGACTGATGACTCATCCGGCAATCAATGATGTCACATGAGGGAGGTTGATCAGCATTATGTCTCTAGTTAATGATCACGTAAACACGGACGAGTTTTCAAGTGAATATACGGTAACCCATCTCACATATTGAGGTGCATTTTCGAAAGTTCTCTTGAAGATTTCTCTTCATGATTTCACTTCATGAATAACTGTTAATATTTGCTTAACTATGTTATTGAATTTTTTTTAATATATACTGGTAGCTCATGAAAAATCGTTTCGAATGAATGTATGCCAACACTCATATCGATGGTTTTTCAAATGATTTTTTAAAATTTACTTCAATTTAAGCAAACAATAAAAACAAAGCAAAAGCGTACGGAAATATTGAGTATTTAAAACATGCCTATTAATTCGTCGTGGTAGAGTGTCTTCAATTCATGGTCTCGCATGGACGATTCTAGCTGAGTGATTCGTGGTCTCTTCAACATGGTCCGATTCTATCTGAATTATTCATGGTCCCTTCAACCTGGTCGTATTCACGTATCTCGCTTAAGTATTACAACGGCGTCGATCCGAAACTTAGTTCGACTCCTAAACATTTGTCCCACAGTAATGAAACAAACAGCTGGGAGATGTCTTTCTTTGATTCGTTCAGAATTCATAGGAGTTCAGTCTGAAGGAACTGTATTGCACAAAACTAGAGTCCCGTCTTGGGTTTGAACGGTGCATGAAGGGATATGGTCTTGAAGTAAGGACATCAAGTGCTCTTTCTCGGAACGTAAAGTCGACAAATCAACTTTCAGGCGTTTTTGTTGTTCGTCCAATTCATCTATTTTCTGAAGGAATAATTTAATATGATAAATTAAATTATAATCTCATTTAATGTCTATGTGTTTTGTTTCTAACTATAAATTAACAATATTAACGTAAAGCCTATATATATATATA